CATGGCTATTCCACACTGCAGAGACCGCTATTATGTAGGGTAGTCGCCGACATCAGGAAGCATACTCTTGGTTAGACTATTGACCCGAAGAGGTCGTCTTTCATTTGCTTTCCCTGAAAATTAATGTGCAGGCTTATCTCGTCCACAGACAACGCATAAAATATGCGCCTGATGAAGTCATCCAGCGTTCGTCTGCTAAGGCGTGCAGGATAGTAAATGTTTTGACCTAACCGTTAAGTGCGATATTCACTGTTCTCAGGGCGGTCGTTGCTGCCTTAAAATTAACTATCGCCGCAGTGGATGTTGACTGCATAGTTATTGCTGTCTCTATTGCCTAGCCCTCTTCTCATGTCGTTTACTAAAACTTTTAATGTTTTTGACGTGCTGGCCACACACCGACGGATCGCTGCGACAGGGTGTCTGAGCGCCGATTGAGTGTTGGGCCCAGCAAGTCTAAAGTTATTTTAAGTGAAACTGCAGTTAACGTCTTACCTTCTGTCATAGGTAGATGCTCGAGTGTTTCCTAGCATTTTAACTGTCATTTTATTTTGCACAACTTACCGACGATATGCCATGGCCGGACAATTGGAGTTCGTAGAGGGCTGTGATCTAAATTGCAGTTGGGAGCGTCTGACATGCAGGACGCGTGTACATCAGACGATTTTCCGTTGCCACAGTATATACCACCAGGCCAAATGTTACTGTGAAATGGTCGCACTATTCTCTCCGAAATAGGCCATGTTTCAGTTTTCGGTTTCCGATGCACTGAGAGACTATTGCCAGTTAAACTGGTACATAGATACTTAGCAGGCCACGAATTTCATTTTCCAAACTAACGTGTATGTATTCGCCACTACCCATAGGGACTACCTCCAAATTATATGAAGATCCCAATAGGTTTCTTTAATCTGCCGGGGGTTCAGGGACCAACATAGCGGACCCTTCCAGGACCAGCGAAGAATGTCAAATTTCGTATCTCACGGGTCGAAAGAAATCGAGTCAGCCTGCTCGCCCACCGGCAAACTGTGTACATCCGTCACAGAACCGTAGCTGAGGAGGGCTTAGACTGACCAGTTTGGGTTGCAGCTTACCCCACTCTGATCGAACCGTTCTGTTCACACGTTTGCAGAAGTTCT